AACCAACTCTGTCCTAGGCTTCCCTTTCCAGTTCTGTCCCATTTCTGTTTATTCTTCTCATGCCTTTCTATATTTCTCGGCGTAATGTGTTCCTTGGCCTTCCTCTCTTCCTTTGACCTTGAGGGTCCCATGTGAGGACTTGTCTCGTGACGCAGTTTGGTGCTTTTCGTAGTGTGTGTCCTATCCACTTCCACCGCTTGTTCCTGATTTCCTCCTCCACTGGAATCTGGTTTGTTCTCTCCCACAGTTCGTTGTTGCTGATGGTGTCTGGCCAACGAGTCCGAAGTATTTTGCATAGACAACTGTTAATAAACACTTGTATCTTCTGGATGATACAAGTGTAGGCCAGTAGAACCTTCGGGTCTACTGCCGGTCCCAAGCCCGGGTAAAGGAGGAGGGTTGGCGACCCGATTCCGTCAAAAACTAACTTGCCAAAAAAACGCTAACCATAAAAACTAATTCAAACCGCCAAAAAAATATATTAATTATTTTTCATTCAATAATAATATAACATACCGTGCTTGAGGAATTGTTGTCGATGAACCTCGTTTACTGCTTTGTGCTGCTATCTCTTCTTTGTGATGATTTGGTGGGATTCGTGATTTCAGCTAACAAAAATCATAATCATAATAATAAGCGAAATAAATGCAAGAATTTTTTCGGGCTTTGTTTTTTTGCTCAAAATGAAAATATATCTTATTTACAGTTTTTAGTCAATGCAGACAATATTTCCCACTATATAATAATCAGTGTATTATTTCTTTTTATTAGTTATGAAAATAAGTTTTTTTCAAATTGATCATTCTCTACTCGACCCCAAAACAAAACAGAAATCCATGAAGTCACTGACTAGTAGACTGAGTCATGTTGGTAGATGTAGACTACCTGGTTGGGGTCCGGGAGACGAAAGTTACCAATGGTTAGAGACCTTGAATAATGGCTCAAAATCGTTTGCAATGGCGCAAGTGCATCTATTCGTTGTTTTACTCTCTCAAATCCTAATCTTCTGAAATCGTCAGCACGTCTACCTTTGTCTTTCTAACCTTATTTCACTGAATTATACTTCTTGAATAATATCTTCAAACCCTAGTCTTCTTTATTAACATTAATACTTCTACTATCTTTATCACTATGGGATTTGATTTGACATTTGCGTCTGTGTGCTAATGTGGTATGGCAACATGAACTTATGTACATACGTACGAATTTGTACGTTGCAACTGACTGACTGACTGACTCGACCCCAAAAGTTGAATGAATCGAAATGTTACATAAAGAAGACAATTTGATGCCAAATTGAAATGATTTCTTCTAGTCTACCAATCTCTCTCTAAAAAGTGTGTTTTGGCAGAATTTTATTCACTACTCATGTATGAAAATCTTATCTGCCTATTTTATCCGTTGGTTGTCGTCATTAGTCGAATGAAAACAACATTTACATAACACATTATTGTAAATATTGAGAAATATAGTGATAGGCTGAAGTATATTATCAAAATATTTGCTCAATCTATACAGGCACACTTTATTCGTTTAAATTATCTAAAGATATAACATTATATATCTCACTGTAACCACGATCGTTTACTAGAACTTATTAAAAAAAAAATCACTGCACAAATTACTGGCTATTAGTGTTAAGATATTCATCCAATATCCTAAGAGAATTATTGGCCGATTCCTATTGGTTAATTCCTACTGCTTAATTTTATGGTCGTCCTAGATATCAATGTCACATACTTCAATGTTGTTTCTTATTGGTCGTCTCAACTGCCAATGTCACAAGCTTCGATGATGTTTCCTATTAGACCCAAATGTATAAATACGCATTATCTGTAACATTGCATGACTAGAACCCGGTCCCGGATCCCTAGTCCGGGATACTGATTCTCTTCTGGATTCGGACCTCGTACTTTCTGGATGCTTGTAGAATACAGGTTCTACTTCATATCAAGTCTTGTCTTCTTTTACTCAATATGGGGGTTTGGATAATCGGATTTGAGTAGCATATCGTGTCATCGGATCCTCGACTAAGGTATATTCGTAATAGTTCAAGTATATCAAGTTGACGTGTTTACGTGTAGGCGTAACAATTCGATTCATTTTGAAACAATAATCATGGATTGCATTGCTGGGCAACAATTTTGAAGGAGTGCATATTGGGAAGGCATTATTCATTATTTAATTTAATGTGTGGCGAAATGTGAATATGAAATTTAAGCCTCAATTCACTTTTCATTAAATACTTCAGTGTTCTATTGTAAATAAAAAAAAAGAGTACATACCATATCGTCGTGACTTTTGCGTAATTCAATAGAATTTCGAGCATTACTAGTTATTGGATTATCTACAGTTAAAAAACAAGGAAAAAAAAGTAGTTTTGATGACAACTGAACCGTAAACATTATTATTTTTATTATTATGATAGATCAATACAAATGTCAGGACAGTTCTACTATATGGAGCGGAAACATGGAGAACTACGAAAGCCATCATCCAGAAGATACAAGTGTTTATTAACAGCCGCCTAGGCAAAATACTTCGTATTCGTTGGCCAGATACCATCAGCAACAACGAACTGTGGGAGAGAACAAACCAGATTCCAGTGGAGGAGGAAATCAGGAACAAGCGGTGGAAGTGGATAGGACACACAGTACGAAAAGCACCTAACTGCGTCACGAGACAAGCCCTCACATGGAACCCTCAAGGCAAAAGGAAAAGAGGAAGGCCAAGGAACACATTACGCCGAGAAATAGAGAAAGATATGAGAGGAGTGAACAAACATTGGACAGAACTGCAGAGGGAATCCCAGGACAGAGTTGGTTGGAGAAAACTGGTGGGCGGCGTATGCTCGATTGGGGGTAACAGGCGAAAGTAAGTAAGTAAGTATTATGATAGAAAGTCAATTCAACTTAGTTCCAGTATCGACTTATTTGTGTACATTTGAATGAAAAATCATAATATCTTGATTTTACAGTAAAATAATTAATAATTAATTTGTTTTGACATTGAACTTACAAAAACTGTATAATAACCAATAAAATGAACTTTGTTTTTGTATGAATATATATATGCTCGAATATTGGTTACAGTAATTGGAGAGATCAGTGGGTTCGAAGAGATTATTACTCAAGAAGTGTAATTCAGTGAGATAAATTTAGTGAAAGTGAAAGATAAAGATGATGAGGAATTGAGGTTAGAATTTTTTAGAGAACACAATGAATGAATCCATTTGCGCCACTACACACATTTCTGAGATATGTCGTTCAAGATCGTTAAGTGTCGGTTACTATTGTAACACCTCACATATATCTTGTACTTTTATCACGCTTGGGCATTACTTGCCACCTACACATATAGTTATTTGACTAGCTGTATCGATTAACAGTTTCGAATAATTCGATGTTAATATTGACTATACATATTTGAATTGAATCCGATATTTGTATCGATCATTAAATAATTTGAATAATAAAGAAATTGTGGCGACGACTCGTGTTCTCTCGTGGCGATCATTAAGACGGAGATATACGGGAAATCGAAGATAACGAAAATCTAACGCCACACCATCGTCTCGCGGACCCCAACCAGGTAGCTTACATCCACTAATATGCCTAATAATATGCTTAAAGAGTTGAGTTTTTATAAACACTAATTTGTTGTCTCCTAACATTGCTAAGTAAGCGCATTCTTTGTGGACGGATTCATTTGGTCTTAATGCGAATTAGCACCCGTTATTAGGAAACGGGTGCTAGGTAAGAATGGCAGATCGATAGATGAAGTGATGAAACTTCATCAGTTGAGGTGGTCTGGACATGTGTTGCGTATGCCTAACCACCGACTGCCTCGTCGAGCTATATTAAGCGGTGTAGGAATAAGTTAGGACGAAAGTTAGAGGCGGCCACACAAAAACATGGCAGAAATGCATGAAGTCACTGACGAATGGATTGAATCATGTCGGTAGGTGTCGACTACTTGGTTGGGGTCTGTGAGATGATAATAATCGATGGTTAGAGACCCTGAATGACATGGCTCAAAATCGTTTGCAATCGAGCAGGTGCGTTTATTCTTTGTGTTCTCTCAAATCTTAAACTTTTTTTAATTCATCATCACTTTATCTTTTTAAGTCTATTTCACTAGATTCTACTTCTTGAATAATATCTTCTAATCCTAACCACTCCGACTACTGCTAATACTTCCAATACCTCTACTACTATTGGTTTTGAATTGAAAATTACATCTTTGTGCTAATGTGGTATGGCAACATGAACTGATGTGTGTACGTACGAAGTTCTACGTCGCTGTTGATTGATTGACTGAATACGAATTAGTTCCGATCGCCTTATTAATCTATTTTATCAAATCTGTTATTAATTATCACTAGTAATCTACGTAAAAACCAATATCAAGTGAGCAGTAGTCAACTTGTCAGCATACCCATTGCTGGAATTTAAATGAAAGTAAGAATTTTTAGTGAAAGATGACTGCCTCAATTTCATCCATTACAAATGAAGATTTGAGATGCTTGATTATTGAACACTTTTTGTTGTTGCTTTCAATCTGACATTTGATAAGGTTTATTTTTTTAAATTAGACAAATATTTAATTCTCTGAAAATCAATTTTTTTTTACCAGAAATTAAAAAACAAAACGCATTTAAATAAAAACAAAAGTAGTAGCACATTAATTATTACGTGTTGTTTTGGATAGTTGCGGTATTCCACGTTTTACATTGCCTGTTGAACTTTCTATATTAGGATGTGATGTAGGATTATTTGGTGTATAAGTAGTATTTAATCCTTTTCTGTTATTATTTCTTAGTGTAGGAATATCACTTGCTTGAGCCTAAATACAAATCAATCAATCATAAAATAAGTAATATGTTAAATTGGGTATAAATAAATAGGCTAGCTAAATTATGGTAATATTGTGGTGCGCTCTACTTATAAGTAGTATATGACGTGAGTGTAAACGTAATGTCTGGCAGCAGAAGATGGCGGAAGATCAAGAAAGGAAGAATGGGAACACAATGGAATTTGTATGAAACGCATGAACAGTGAAATGTCAGACAATGGATTGAAGATTTGCAAATTAACCGTTTACGATATGGTTTTCCAATTTTACTGAGTAACTCTGTAATTGGCGATAAATACAATTCGGTTGTCCTCACCTGTGTTCTCCTTCACTACAATATGATTATCGTACCATGTATAAGTTTATAAATGATAGCTGATCTGTTTTTGCGCACAACAGAGAAACATTTTATTATTAAGTAAAGATTATATAAATATTTCTAAAGCTTCAGTTAATGAGATAGTGGAGTTTCATTCATTTGGTTGTAAAGCTTTCATTACTCTTCTGAGAACAACATCATCAGCATGAAACTTCCTCATAAAAGCTTTAGTGAATTTTACGTAAGTTGTTATTAGCGATTGCAAAAATTATTAAAATATTTTGAAAGTGAATTATTATATTAGTTACTTGTTAATTAGGTTACATTCTTTGAATTGATTTCCTCAGAGTATGAAGTTATTTATTATAACAGCTTCTTTTACAGAAAACAAAAGATGACCTTTGACAAAAAATATTGATTTTCAATAATGATATGCTCTTATTTAAAAAAATAGTAACGAGAATATGAAACTTACGTTGTTATTTATTAGTCTTTAGTGAAGTGTTATGTTTATTTTATCTTACTTTGGAAATATTCAACTCAAAGTATCCATCATCTAGCGCAGCTCAATCCCAAGCTGCTAAACTTTATTATCATCGTAAATTATTTGTGAGTAATTCAAATGACTAGCGAAACATTTAGATTGAGAGAGAGTTAAATATTTGCATTACGGGGTTGTGAAGATTGTTAGGTTACACATTTTTGAAACCATGTATCGATCAATGTCAGACCACCATTAGAAACCTGAAAGCACTGGACGGCTGTTTCGTCCTGGTATGGGACTCCTCAGCATGGTTTCAAAAAATGTGTAACTTAACAATCTTCACAGCCCCGTAATGCAACATTACCTGTGCTCACTAGTGACTAGCTTCGGGAGGAATCTTCTCCGAGTTCTAGTGGGAAGACGTGACCAGTGAAGTTCAACCTGTTCGGGTGTAAACAGTAAATACCGAAGGCAGTGCATGAGGTTGCACAACTCCGTGCATTGATCTAGTTAGACATTAACACCACTAGATACCTGATCAGTGGTCCAGAGGTTAGGCGTTCGCCTACATTACTGAAGGTCCTGGGTTCGGATCCTGCGGGGTGTAGGAGTCGTGGATGCGCACTGCTGAGGAGTCCCGTACCAGGACGAAACGACCGTTTTTCAGTGCTTCCAGGTTTCTAATGGTGGTCTAACATTGATCGATTCATGGTTTCAAAAATGTGTAAGTTAAATATTTGTTCATGTCACCGAAGGCATACACAGAACGAGTTTCAAACTGGGTGAAATATATGTATTCTTCAACCCATTGGTGACCATAATCCAGATGTTGCTTCTCTATGCTGATGAGGTATTGGCAATTTGAACTTATATATTCATGTGAGAAGTTCTACGTTGTAACTGATTGACTGACTGACATAATGCATATATGTGAAAAAGTATATTTTAAGTAGTTTATGAGCGATCGCTTTCCACTTTCACGTTATTAAATTTGAATAAAGCAAGAACAGTAATCATATAGTAGGATAAAATTATGCAATTTACTTCGCGAATTCGTCAAAGATGCTTGTAGCTTGGGAATAATAGTAATAATTTTTTAAAAATTTCGTATACATACTGGATATGGGTATCTAAACAAATCTTCATCTAACAAGATGACTGAAAGAGCACAAAGTATGAGATGCTAAGTTGATTTAATATTTGTATGTTGAATGATGTAGACGTTCTAGAATAATTCACAACTCTTAGAAATAGATTATTGGAAAAAAGGTGTGAAAATAAATTGGTTATACTGTGGTGCGCGCTACTTATAAGTAGTATATGACGCGAGTGTAAACGTAATGTCTGGCAGCAGAAGATGGGGGAAGATCAAGAAAGGAAGAGTTAGAAAACAATGGAATTTGTATGAAATGCATGAATAGTGAAATGTCAGAAAATGGATTGATGATGGATTGAAGATTTGCAAATTAACGGTTACGATATGGTTTTCCGATTTTACTGAGTAACCGTAATTTTCTTTAAATACAATTCGGTTGCCCTCACCTGTGTTCTCCTTCACTACAATACGAATAAATTTAGTTAAGATCAGATAAGCCTCGAAACAGAAAGAAATATGCATACGTAGAAATTGACCTTTGTTAGTGAGAGCATCTTTATTGTGTACACTTTTTCTTGTGAACTGCTAAGTTGTAAGCTCCTGATGAGAATCCATGAAATAAATGAATTTATAATAAGCTATAAAGAACGTAACGTTGGCTTCTTTCACAAATCACAATGATTATCCATAAATCCAAATTAGAGTAATCAATAATTTTCATCAATTACGTTTATAACTCTATACAACGATAATAGTCATTTTCTATACTCTATGTCATCAATCATCTTAATGAATAAAGAAATACAGTTTTAGAGTATTCCGTTAAGCGCAGATGCGCGATGTTTGGTCACAATTATTGTTCAGATTATCTATACTACTAATAAGTAGCTTAAAACTCCTTTCAAATATTCTGTTTCATGAAAATGTCAAAATTACGATCTATAAAATTAACTTATCAACATTGAGTTACAGATAGATTTTTGATACTGGATTCTACAAGGAAATTAGCCATTTTGCCGTGTAAGACTAACGATGCCCAGAATTTTTTAGATTCAGAATTAGTTTTATCCTATAGTATTAGAAAATCTAGGTTCATAAGGCATCCTTGCTTCGCCTCATTTTCACAGGGCGTTGTGGTTGTTGGATGTCGAATTTCACACCACAGACTGACAATACATATTCACAACTACATGAAAAATCAAGTACAGGACCTTCGTATCTAGTACCAAGCACTTAGCTTTTATGCCACTATGTTTGACATCCAATGGTTTACATGTCTAACTCCAATCAATCCTGGATATTGAGCGACTATCATTTATGGTTGAGAAGACTGAGGCAGGCGAAGAAGATTGTATTATGCAAATTTACACTCTGAGTCAGTCAAAAACGAAAACATTACATTGAATACTCTATTTGCACACCATCTTTAAGTCGTGACTTCCAACACTCCATCCTTATTCCATTCCTGTTGTTGATTCCTTTCCTTCCTGTTGGTACTCCATTTACTTCTTGCTTTTGCTCCATTTGCTTTCCGTTTTCCTCTTCTGACCGTGCGACTTCTTCTTTCACGTCCCTTCTCATACTACTTACATCGTTCGTATAGGTAGCACACACCACATGGTTACTGGTGAAATTAATTTAATAATCGGAATTTTTATGATGAACTGAAGTACCGTTCAAGTGGATGTCTTTTTTTAGTTGCGGGAAAATTTTGGTCAGAAGCTCAAAACATTAGTATATTTATAGTTTCTTACATGAGAAGATTCTAGAATGTTCCCCCAGTATCGACTAGCGCTAATTGGATACGAAAGAGCTAATCAGAGTGCAAAACCGCATTCGTGTTTGGAACATGCTTTAATCCAATCTTTGTCCCACTAACAATTATAATCAAGTGATCTGTACTATTCTAGTTTGGCTAGTTCGTAATGTGGTATGAAGTTGTCAGTAAATATCCATTGATATCTATTTAAAGTTTCATTTTTCCATGGTTATATTACTAAAATAAATATACCAAGATAAACAGATATAAATCGAACTTATTCTTTGATAACTAAGATAATGTAATAGACCATACCGTTGGGCGTGTAGTAGCACGTGTGCGACTGATTCCGGTTGTATTTGGTAGGGTACTGTGGGCTGGCAAACGGGAGTGTTTTTCACGGCAAAACTCAATGTGACGTTCAGCAGCTTTCTCATTGAATCTTCTTAGGCAATATTCACATTGAATTAGATCTATGTCAATAAAAGCAGGGAATATTTACAACGAGCATTTTGAAAAAAGTATAATTCTTTCAAAAATCAAATAGATTTTTAGAGAATGACACGTCTTATAGTGAGTGGTTCAAACGAAGTGCAGAAACTGAGCAATCATTTTTGCATAAATGACCATAAAACCTTCAGTAAAAAGCTATTATATCAGTTCAAGTGCTTCTTTATACGCTAATTCAATTATTCAAACATTATATTTTGTCTTTTTATGTACATAATTTTTCTGTTTAACACAAACTTGCAGACTATTAGTCTCAAGCAGTCCGCATCCACGACTCCTGCACCTTGCAGGATTCGAACCCGTGGCCTTCCGTATTGTGCGCGAACGCCTAACCTCTGGACCACTTAGCTGGCCACTAGTAGCTCATACAAATGTTTATATTATCAGCGAAGAGAATTAATTATTAAAGAGTAAAGTGATTATTTGATGGCATGATTTTCAACAGTAAACTAGTACGACAAAGCAATAATTCATTAATCAGTTTTAGGATATATTTCCTCCAGTTCTAATAAAATAAGATAATAATGATATATTTGTAATATTCCAATGACAAACAGACAGACAGATACAACGAAGAACTTCGTACATAAGTACAACAGTTCAAGTTGCCATACAACATATCAGCACAGAGACACAACTGTCAGTTCAAATCCGAGAGTGGTAGCGATAGTAGAAGTATTAGCAGCAATCGAGAAGATTAGGGAGTGAAGATATGATTCGAGAAGTATAATTCAGTAAGATAAATTTAGGAGGAGAAAGGTGGAGATTATGAGGAATTCAGAAGGTTGAATTAAAAAGCACAAAAAGAGTGGATGCACCTGCGCCATTGCAAACGATTCTGAGCTATGTTGTTCAAAGTCTCTAACCATCGGTGACTTTCGTCTCGCGGGACCCAACCACGTAGCCTTCATCTACCAACAGCACTCAGTCCACTTGTCAGTGACTTCATGCATTTCTGCCATGTTTTGGCTTGACCGCCCCTAGCTTTCTTCCAACCTACTCCTACACCACAAAACATAGCTCGACGAGGCATTCGGTGGTAAGGCATTCGTGACACATGTTCCAACCACCTCAACTGATGAAGTTTCACTACTACCTAGAACTCGTTTCCTAACGAGTAGAAATCAATTTCCTGACTGATTGTTGAGCACTTCCTTCGAAAGCGAGTTAAATCAACGCAAGGTTAAATAGTACAAAGGCGAATAACTACAGCATGTAGTACTATTGAAAAAAACAGCTCTGATTAAGTTAACGCTACCACAAGGTGATTTTTATGTCTTGTTTAGTGTATCGATATATTCGTTGGTATGTATGTGTGCGTATGTATGAAAAATGTGATATTTGTAATATGAACAGAGACTAAGTGAAGTTTTAATGTGGGATATGTGAAAAACGAGTTAGATTTAGTAGGTCGGATATTACAAGTGCAAGTTAATGAACAATTAGAGCCCTTTTTTTTTCTTTCTATTTTCTATTCTTATTACTGATTTAATTTGCGATTTTTTTTTATTCTTTTGAAATGTATATGCTGAAATGAAATCAATACAGAAATTGGAGTGTGTTGATTAAGATATTGAATGTTACTAAGTAACTGACTACTATGCATAGTTAATTTGAATAAGCTTATAAGTTCAATTAAAATTGTGATATCAGTGATCAGAATAAACAAAAGGGAGAAAAATGATAATGTAGTCATCAATATTGTTATTACTATTATATTTAATTAGAGTTATGGAGATTAGTGTTCTTTCGCACATTTGAAATCATCAATCAATCATTGTTCAACCACCGTTAGAAACATGGAAGCATTGAAAGACGGCCGTTTCGTCCTGGTATGGGACTCATCAGTGGAAAAGAGCATCTACGACTCCTGCAACTCGTAGGATTCGAATCCAAGGCCTTCAGTCTTGCGCGCGAACGCTTAACCTCTGGACCGGAACCCAACGGTGTTAATGTCTAACTCAGATTGATCTACGGATTTTGAGCGACCTCACCCATTTGTCTTCGGTAGTTACTGCCTTAACCTCGACAGGTTTGAACTGCACTGGTCATGTCTTCTCACTAGAACTCCGAGAATTTCCTCACCACAATTAGAAACCTATTATTATTCGTTTAACATCACTACAAATCTCCCCGAACACATAAGTAATTTACTTAGCACTCACCTCGTTTTATAAAAATTCCATGCTGAATTGATATAACGCCATAATACATCAAACACCTGATCAGATTAGCAGTAACTGCATGATCATTTTTCTCACCTAGTTTTTTTTTCATTCTGATCACTGATACAATGTTAACAATTGTAACCTTGCCTATTAGTCAACTCAACTCAACTCAAAATTAAACAATTTTTAATATCATTTCACAAAATTATAATCTCTTACGGTCAGTCACATGGTGGTTATATATATAATTTTGAAAAGAATGTATAGTTTGACTTAAAACTTTATCATTTTTTTGGGGGAATTATTCTAATTCGCATACATTGCTTGTAGAACTAATTCTTAAAAAGAGAATTAATTTATTGAAAACAAAATTCTTTCTTATTTTTTGTCAAACAAACAATCGAAAAAAGAATGAAGAATGTAGAATAAAGAAATAAGGAGAACAATAAATAGTTTTTTTTATGTGAAAAAAAAACCACAAACAAAAAATACTATTTATTCATTAGTTGCTGCTACTATGACTGCAAAATCTAAATAATAATGTATTCAGAATTAATAAGCAAATAAAGAGTATTACAGGTTATAGTGTATGTATGATGCATAGGGCAAAAAAAGGAGTATTGTATTGTATTGTAAAGAACAAGATCTGATCCATTCTTCAGCATCACCTGACTTATCTATCGTTCAATCTACTTACTACATACCTCCTCGTATCCCATTTAAAATCGATTGAAAGTAAAACAAAAGAAATCGGTACAGATGTTCAGTAACAAAAAAAAATAAAAGAGGAAGAGTTAAGAAGAATTAAAAAAGTCATTTGAAGGGTGTTTAATCTTTGCAAAAAATAGTCAGTCAATGAAACTTTTAAAGTTTCAATACTAAAGCTTTGAAAGCATAAATTAGAGTTGCAGGAATAGACAGATATAAATACAACACCGAAAATCGTACGTAAGTACGTCAGTTCAGGTTGTCATACCACATCAACACATAGACGCAACTGTCAGATCAAATCCAAGAGTGATAGCGATAGTAGAAGTATTAGCAGTAATGGAGAAGATTAGGAAGCGAAGATATGATTCGAGAAGTATAATTCAGTGAGATAAGGTTAGAAAGACAAAGGTAGGGGTATTGACGAATCCAGAAGATTAGGATTTGAGAGAACACGAAGAATAAATGCACCTGCGCCATTAAAAACGACTTTGAGCCATGTTGTTCAAGGTCTCTAATCATCGGTGACTTTCGTCTCGCGGACCCCAACAAGGTAGCCCACATCTACCAACATGACTCATTCCACTTGTCAGTGACTTCATGCATTTCTGGCATGTTTTGGTCTGGCTGCCCCTAACTTTCTTCCAACCTACTCCCACACTACAAAACAAAGCTCGTCGAGGCAGACGGTGGTTAGGCGCACGTCACACATGTCCCAACCACCTCAACTGATGAAGTTTCACTACTTCATCTATTGATTTACCATCCCTACCTAGAACCTTACTTATCATCCAACTACATACCTCGTATCCCGTTTAAATCGATTGAAAGTGAACAAAAGAAATTGGTACACAATAATATCATTTACAAGTTCAATAACCAAAAAAATTAAATAGGAAGAGCTAAGAAGTATAAAAAATAGAAAAAAGTCATATGAATGCTGTTCGATCTATGCAAAAAATAGTCAGTCAATCAAGCTTTTGAAAATTTCAATACGAAAGCTTTGAAAACATAAATTAGAGTTGCAGGAATATTCTTACAAAAATAATCAAATGCTAACCTTGAAGTTTACGATCTATTCGCAAAAAAACAAAACATCATACAGATGGACAGTTGCGGTTTTAATTAGATTCCAATATTTTCTTTGAATTCGGTTAATGACGAAACTGTACCAGTTGATGGAATATTATGAAAAACTAAATAAATGCGCACTGCTGAGGAGTCCCATACCAGGACGAAACGACCGTGTTTCAATGCTTCCAGGTTTCTAATGGTGGTCTAACATTGATCGATTCATGGTTTCAATAATGTGTAACTTAACAACCTTCACAACCCCGTAATGCAAATAGTCAATACCGATTGAAATTCATTAGGTTGGTTGTCACGATGGAATTACAATGCCTCAGAGTAAGAAATAGAACACCAAAACAACAGAAAAACGCCTGATTTGATCAATGTTATTAATGCATTGGATAGACTAGGAAGTTTTGTGATATTTTATTGTGATTTGTTTGAGCGTTGAGGTGTTTGAAAAAAAATTACTACCTCAATCTTTTCAGTCAAATGATCAAAAATCATATGTGGATTCGATTAGTGTATAAACTAATTCTTATGCCATAACGTTATTTCTTTACACAATTACTGCGAAGTCACCACCAAAGAACAATCAAAAAGAGATTAATTTCTTTTTTTTCAGAATGACTATTAATAAAGATTTTGATTTTCATTACCAAGTACTTTGAACTGTATCAGTCAGTCGGATGCAACGTAGAACTTCGTACGTAAGTACATCAGTTCATGTTGCTATACCACATCAGCGCAGAGATATAATTGTCAAAAGGTAGTAAAGGTATTAGAAGTAATCGGAGAGGTTAGGATTAGAAGATATTATTCAAGAAGTATAATTCAGTGAGATTAGTTCAGAAAGTCAAAACTAGAGGTATTGAAGAATCCAGAAGTTTAAGATTTGAGAGAACACAGAGAATAAATGCACCGGCGACATTGCAAACGGTTTTGAGCCATGTCATTCAGGGTATCTAGCCATCGATTATTAACATCTCGCGGACCCCAACCAGGTAGTCGACAACTACCGACATGACTCAGTCCAATGGTCAATGACTTCATGGATTTGTGCCATGTTTTGGTTTGGCCGCCCCTAGCTTTCTTCCAACCTATTCCTACACCACAAAACATAGCTCGTCGAGGCAGTCGGTGGTTAGGCATACGCAGCACATGTCCCAACTACCTCAAATGATGAAGTTTCACCACTTCATCTATTGATCTGCCATCCTTACCTAGTACTCGTTTCCTAACGACAGCATTGCTTACTCGGTTGTCCGACGATATACGAGCGATGCTTCTAAGACATCTATGATCGAAAACCAGTAACCTACGAACATCTTCTACTCTTAACGGCCATGTTTCGCATCCATATAAGAGAACGGTTCGAACTGCTGCGCAGTACACCCGTCCTTTGGTCAGCGAACGGATATCTCGCCTACGCCATAGGTGACGCAGGTTGGCAAAAGCCAATCGAGCCTTCTGTATCCGAGCTGAGATTTCGTCAGTCAGCGTCTTCACCGAATAGAACTATGTCATCGGCATATTCTAAGTCGATAAGCGAGCCACCTGGTAGAAGGTCTACTCCTGAAAAATCTGACGAGCTTAATGTTAACTCTAAGAGGATGTCTACGACAAAGTTAAACAAGAATGGGGAGAGTTGACAGCCCTGACGGACACCACATGATGTAGAGAATTCAGATGACAGTTCGCCATATGCTCTCACCCGACCAGTGGTGTTCGAGCAGAGAGCTTGTATAAGGTTAATGTACTTCTTTGGTACACCTTTCAATGACAGACACTGCCACAGAACCTCACGATCCACTGAGTCAAATGCAGCTTTTAGGTCCAGGAACACGACTATTGTCGGACGTCTAAATGTGTGTCTGTGTTCCAGGACCTGTCGTAGTGTGAAGATGTGGTCTATACGACCACGTCCAGGTCGAAAACCAGACTGGTTTTCTCTAGTCTGCTCTTCACGAGCTCTAGTTAGACGTCTAAGTATAATTGAGGCTAAAAATTTAAAAACTATATTAGTTAAACTGATTCCCCTGTGATTGTCACAAGAGGACTTTTGTCCTTTCTTGTAGATTGGGACAATTAGCTATTGAGACTAGTGAGATGGGATTACGTCCAGTTCCCAGATTCTACCTGGGATCTCGGTCAGTCTAACTGTTAAAACTGGACCACCATCCTTAAACATCTCAGGGGCAAGCCTATCAGGACCTGCTGCTCTACTTTGCTTTAGATTTCCTATAGCTATCCTTACCTAGTACACGTTTCCTATCAACAACATTGCTTATACAGTTGTCCCACGATACTCAAACAATGCTTTGGAGACACCTATGATCGAAAACAAGTAACCTACGAATATCTTCTGCTCTCACTGGCAATGTTTCACAGGCATAAAGTAAGACGGGGAGAACTACTGCGCAGTACACTCGTCCTTTATTCAGCAAACAGATATCTCGCCTATGCCATAGGTGACGCAGGTTGGAAAAAGTCAATCGAGCCTTCTATATCCAAGCTGAGATTTCGTCAGTCACCAGGCCATCAGCACTGACGAGACTCCCAAGATAAGTGAGGCGGTCTACACGCTCGACTACTTCACTCCCTATCACTAGTTCAGGTGCAGATGCAACCCAATCTTGAAGCAACATTTTTCATTTCGAGGGTGAGAACCACATCCCGAACATGTTTGCGTTGTTGCTTAGGGTGTTTAGAAGACTGTATGGCGAAGATCGGGTTGTATCAAGATTTCCACTAAATTCAGAGACTACTATGTTGAATTTTATAGCTGAAATATCTGTAAGCAAAAAATTAAATGATTTTCAGCTGATACACTAGATGGTCAGTTAGTTAGAAAATTGGCTAATTGTTACAAAGTAACTATTTTTATTTTTTAGAATAACTCAAGCATACTTTCATCCAAAAATAATTCTTTATGTAACGTGTTTCCATTCAACATAAAGGTGTTTATTTTGCCTTAAGTAAAGGTTAGGCTTAAGGCATATTGGAAAGTGTAACACAAAAATTGAAAATGTTTATGAACATACAATATAAAGCAAGGTCCAGATCGAAAGTATTCTAACTCAAATTACTATATATATATATATATATATATATATATATATATATATATATATATATATATTCACAAAATATAAAAAAGAAGACTCATATAAAAAATGTCATGAAGCACAGAACATCAGAAAACAGAAACAAGACAGTTAGAATTTAAAATGTTCAGCAATTGGAAGTTGTTAGGATATTCATCCAATATCCTAGGAGAATTATTGGTCAAATCCTATTGGTCGATTTTTATTGGTCAAAATTATGGTCGTTTTAACTGTCAAAGTCAAATACTTAAATGTTGTCCCATATGAGTCATCCTGACTATCAATGTCACTTCAAATGTTACTTCCTATTGGTCATCCTAAATGTCAATGTCACAGAATTCGATGCTGTTTCCTATTCGACCAAAATGTATAAATACGCGTGATCTGTAACGTTTTATGACCACGACCCGGACCAGGACTCGGTCCCGGATCTCTAGTCCGGAATCATGATTCTCTTCTGGATTCGGACCACGTACTTTCTGGATGCTTGTAGAAAACATGTTCCACTTCACATTCAAGTCTTCTTATTTTTACTCAATATGGGGATTGGGATAATCGGATTTGAGTAGCATGTCATGTCGCCGTATCCTCGATCCTCGCTCTCGTTTTCCGACTAGGTAAACCCGTAATAGTTCAATTATATCAAGTTGACGTGTTTACATGCAGGTGTAACAGAAGTATATGAATATACTAAATGCATGTGAATTGCCGTATTCGTTTTAACATTATATAATAAATAACAATACCAATCATTGTTATTTTTTCTCTGACTTAAAAATACTTTAAGCAATTTTTTCTCAAGTTATTTTATCTACTATAGTATACTGAAAGTGTTTAACAACAATTATAATATTTATTCTGTACACATATACTACTACTACTACTTCTACTCACCTGGATCAATAGTCCGTGGAGGTGGAGGTGGCAAAGGTTTACCAGTTTTTTTAGCAATAACATACGCTCTATTAGCTCTAATTGTATTAATAAATTCTTCATGATGTTGTCGCCAATGATGTTTACGTGCTTCAGCTTGAGCTATTTTTCGTTGAACTTCAACTGATTTAGCAGTAGTAGTAGTAGTCCCAGAAGCACCGAATAACTTTTGATTTACCTCTTGTATACCTTTTATTCGTTGTTTTGTACTATCAAAAGGTTTTCTTTTCTTTGTCGCATTCTTCATACATATAGCTTTATGTCGATTCTGTGTAAATTCATAGATAGATAGATAGATAGAGATTGAAAAAAAATTGATATTAAAAACTCAATGACTGTCAAAGTCAAATAATCAGTTGTTTTTTTTTTAAACAGTAAATAAATTGAAATTTTGAACATTATTGGAATGCATGAAAAAAAACGTTCAATTTTTTTTGTTGTCAAATTTGATCATCTATTCTGTTTAAGGATCGATCTATTTAAGTAGACAAGGTCTTACAACGGTCAGTCAGTCAGTTGCAACGTAGAACTTCGTACGTATGTACGTACATCAGTTCATTTTGCCATACCACATTAGCGCAGAGACGCAAATGTCAAATCAAATCCAATAGTGATAAAGATAGTAGAGGTATTAATGGTAATGAAGAAGACTAGGGTTTGAAGATATTATTCAAGAAGTATAATTCAGTGAGATAAGGTTAGAAAGACAAAGGTAGATGTGCTAACGAATTCAGAAGGTTAGTATTTGAGAGAGCAAAACAACGAATGGATGCACTTGCGCTCACTATTGCAAACGATTTTGAGCCATCTCGTTCAAGGTCTCTAATCATCAGCGACTTTCGTCTCGCGGACCCCAACCAGGTAGGTAGCCTACATCTACCAACATGACTCAGTCCATTTGTCAGTGACTTCATGGATTTGTGTCATGTTTTGGTCTGGCCGCCCCTTGGCTTACTTCCAACCTACTACTCTACACCACAAAACATAGCTCGAGGTCTTACAACGAAAAAACTAAATGCATCAATATTGTTTCACTGAAATTCACGGATAAATTTAATTATGCTTTGAAACCTATGAAATCATTTGTGAGATTATTCAATCATCATCACAAAGTCCAAAAATAACTTGCAAACATCTCAACAACAAAAAATCAAAAGAGTATTAATAATGGCCCGTTTTTTTATGTTGATCAGTATTACAAAACACTCATCAAATAAGCTGGAAAAACTTGTCTTAACTCTTAATGATACAAGAAGGCTGAAGATTTAGAGAAGTTGATCGTATTTACTTTACCCTTCCTTACATTAAATATAGACAGACTATGTGACAGGTCAATTTAGACTGTATTCTATTTTAAAAAGAAAATGATTCGTTAATATTTTCATGCTTTTTGAATAAAACACACAAAATACTGTGAAAACTACTTGTCTAATAATATTTTGACCCTAATCTGAAAAAATGATATTTTTTCTTTTATGTCTTCAATAGCTTTTATCCACAATATTAGACTATGTTAAAAGTTTAAAACGTTCAGTTGACAAATATGCAGAAATCTACCAACTATAATTACAAAATAAAAACACTCAAACAAATTGTTGATTTCTTCAAAGAAAACATTTTTACACATCATTAGAATTATCACTCTTTTTTAAAATAATTACTTACAAGTATTTACATATTACTACTGTGGTGTGAGCTACTTATAAGTAGTATATGACGTGAGTGTCAACGTAATGTCTGGCAGCAGAAGATGGGGGAAGATCAAGAAAGAAAGAGTTAGAAAACAATGGAATTTGTATGAAACGCATGAATAGTGACATTGGATTGATGTTTTGCAACAGGAATAGTCCAGTTCGATATGATGAACTGATATTTTGCAAATTAACGATTAACGATATGGTTTTCCGATTTTACTGAGTAACTCTGTAATTTTCGTTAAATACAATTCGGTTGCCCCTCCTGTGTTCTCGTTCACTACACTACTACTTATGATTATGATTACTGATTGGAAGGTAGAATTTTTTCAAGAGACCCATTAAAAAATATATGATGTACCACCTGGAGCAGCCTATAAATAGTAGACAAGGCTTATTTACCTTAAACGCTTATCACATTTGATGCAGCATTCTTATCTACCATGAAATGTACTCCCACAAAGTCTATTCGAAATGATAAAATGATTAACATTACTGCTGTATATTGAAAGTAGTAAGAAAAAAAATATGCAGAAGTACTTGTGTGGTGTGTGCTACTTATACGAACGATATAAGTAGTATAAGAAGGGATGTGAAAGAAGAAGTCGCACGGTCAGAAGAGGAAAACGGAAAGCAAATGGAGCAAAAGCAAGAAGTAAATGGAGTACCAATAAGGAATGAAAGGAATTAAAAACAGGAATGGAAGAAGGATGGAGTGTTGGAAGTCACAACTCAAAGATGGTGTGCAAATAGAGTATTCAATGTAATGTTTTCGTTTTTAACTGACTCAGAGTGTAAATTGGCAAAATGCACTCTTCCTCGCCTGCCTCAGTCTTCTCACTTTTATATGTTAAACCAATTAACTGAAGCCACAAATAGATTTGAAGCAAAAAACGTCTCATCATGCATTTAGATAAATTTAATTCATTATAATTTCCGTTTTTGTTTAGGAATAATGAACACATGTTTCTATAACAACTGAGTATATAGAATAGATAAAGAATAAGAAAAAGTCAAGTTACCATAGTGAATTTATATGCTTTGAGAATTTTCTATTTGTCGGAAGTTCATGAGATAGATTAGTAGTAAAATTATTAATAAAATAAGGTTACCATATATATTCATAAGCATAGTGTTAAAATTATTCTTTCGTAATTCATAGTGTTGAACAAAAAGGACCAGATTAGATAAGAAAGGGTCCTAAACACATTTCGACACATGCGATCTTAGGGCTTACTTAATTGATCTAAGAGCAAATGAAAACTGACCAATTTCATAATACAAACAAATTACTTAATCTAACTACCAAAGTGTTGCAAAAAAAGAGGCTTGAAGCCTGTGGTGCAACGTATACTAAAGACCATAAAAACAAAACTAATGTTGAGATCTTTGTAAGGCGATATCGACGATTCTGACCACAATCTAAATGCTTACACAAAAGATTGGTAAAGACAGCCTAGCTTTGATGTCGAGGAAATGAAAGATAAACACCATCATCGAAATAGGAAACCATCCTATGAAATGAAGATCATAGCCATCACATAATTAGAAAAAACAATCAACTTATACATAGCTACTACCTCAACAGAAACCGCAATCGACTGTTAAGTTATTGTGAAAGAAATGAACAGATACTTTCGAAATGATCACAAATCGAAAACTTTAACCACGGCTCTAATAGATCAGTATAACCGCAATAAAACGTATAAAACTACAGGTTGTCTGTCTTAGACGGCATATTCAACCAAACCAACCCCACAAGAAAAACAAGTAAAACAATCGTCTGTCAAGAAGGCATTCATAACACAACACAAGATACTACAATTCAATCACATCAATATCCCTTCAAAGACTGAAAAAAGAATTTTTCCAACAAGTAAAGAACATAATCAATAAAGACTTTCTAGCATACAGAAATCACAGGATAGGAAAAGTAAAGATAAGGAAAAATTATTCACCAGAAATCAACTATTGCAACCCATATACGCCTCTTCTTCAGAAGAGTCTACCGGTTTCACCAACTATATAAAGCTGGAAGGGGAACCTAATCACATAAAAGATGTTGATACTGCACTGTTACCTTAAATATCTTAAGGATCGATTTTCGCACCTTTATTCATCTAATAGACTTCTGTCGCTAGTTATGTGATGTAAATGAACAATGCTTTAAAAGGACTTTCTTTGTAGGTAAATATTATCTAAAAAACGAGTCAATCAGCAAGAAATAAACTCAAATTTGTAAGCCTTTATGAAATCAAACTAATGGGGATGTATGATAAAAACAGGCTTTATGGAATAGAAGTTTTTATTTTCCATCAAAAAAAGCTTGATTTTAAAGGAAACCAGTATCTTTTGACATATGAAGGTGTTTACTTGCTGTCATTCTAGTTTGTTCATTATCACCATGTAAGCATATCCAAAATCCTTATAAATCACATTTTTTTCAGGATTATGTCGTTTGGTGTTTATAAGACTTAATTAACTTAATTAACTTAACTAGCAGTTGAAAAACCAACAAGATAAAATTTGAACAATACCCAATCAAATATACGTTTCATGCTCTCCAAATATAAAACCAATGTAACTGATCAAATTTATCAGTAATAAAGATCTACAGTCAGTCAGTTACAACAGAGAACTTCGTACGTACGTACGTACGTATATCAGTTCAAGTTGCAGAACGAAATTAGTACAGAGAGGAAATAGTCAATTCAAATCTCACAGTAATAGAGGTAGCAGAATTCTTAGCCGTAATCGGAGAGATTATGGTTCTATCATATTATTCAAGAAGCATGATTTAGTGAAATAAACTTAAAAAGAGAAAGATAAATGTGATGAATAATCTAGAGGATTAGGATTTAAGAGAAGACAAAGAATGGATGCACCTGTGCTAATTCAAACTGTTTTGAGCCATGTCATTCACGGTCTGTAACCATCGATTACTATCATCTCGCGGACCCAAACCAAGTAGTCTAGATCTACCAACATGACTCAATACAGTTGTCAGTGACTTCATGGATTTGGCTTTGCTACCCGGATGTTTATTCCAACCTACTCCTCCTACATTGCAAAACATAGCCTGACGAAGCATTCGTAGCACAACCAACCAACCACCTAAACTGATGGAGTTACAATATTGATCTGCCATACCAGTCTAGAACTCGTTTCCAAATTATAGCATTGCTTACTCGATAATCTCAAGATAAACGAGCAATGCTTTGAAGACAACTATGATCGAAAACCAGTAACCTACGAATATCTTCTACTCTCACTGCCCATGTTTCACAGCCGTAGAGTAGGTCGGAGCGAACTACCGCGCAGTACACTCGTCCTTTAGTCAGCGAACGGATATCTAGCCTACGCCATAAGTGACGCAGGTTGGCAAAAGCCAATCGAGCCTTCTGTATCCGTGCTGAGATTCCGTCAGTCACGGGGTCATCAGCACTGATGAGACACCTGAGGTAAGTGAAGCGATCTACAGGTTCGACTACTTCACTACCTATTACCAGTTTAGGTGCCGATGCAAGCCAATACTGTAGCAGCATTTCGCATCTTGAGGAAGAGAATCGCATCCCGAACATGCCTGAATTTTTGCTTAGGGTAGTCAGAAATAAAGATCTACTGGTCACACTGACCAGATCAACAGGTATTTGAATTATTGGTTGAAATTCCGGGCTTAGAAAGTAATCTTTACGCTTATAGTTCACTTTAACTAGTTTGATTTGATCAACTGAATGGTATCACTAACTCTCAAAACGGAGTTCGTAAATCTCTGAACATGATAGATGCGTTCGCAAAGGGATTACCTAGTTTAGTGCTGAGGTTGCTAAAAGCGTACTAGGTTAGGCTAATTAAAATAAGTGAGCTATCCAATCAGTTTTATCAAAACCAAAAAATCAGTCTTAGCTTCGACCCACTTCAGTTATATATTATATAAGTTAGAAGGATCATTTTTATTAGTTTTAAGAGTCATTTTTATATTTCGGGCAAATGATAAACAAATTACATTTGGTGCCAGATTCTATAAAAAGCCATCATAAAACTGCCAGGAACGAATTTCATATATTATACACTGCACCAAAATACTTATTAATAGTTTACGTGCCTATAGGTAATTTCATTCATCTGAAGCTAATGAAATACAGTGAGAAAATGCCGTTTAAATTAGCAGTTTGAATCGAACGTTATTTATTTTACCCTCATAATTCGGAGACGCCCACTTGAAGAATGCTTTTACCAAACAATGTGCACTGCTTTTTATTCTCTAATGCAGAACATGATCTGATCATTACCACTAGTTTTACCAAGCATAACTGAATTAGATTTCCTAGAACTGTTATCAATCGTTCAGCCATACATTTCCGTGATTTTCGTTTAACGCATACTCCTGTTTAAAAATGGCCTTACTAAGCTTTCAAATAGCGGTTGGATTATCTGACTTTAATGCTTTGATTGCCGATGTTTAGCATTTCCAAATTGGTGTTTTCTTTAAAGACCAATAGATCATCAGTAAAACCATAATGAAATTATTGATATCTTTGGACATTTATTTCTTAAATAACATATATTTCATCCATAAACGTTTGTATTTATACCGTGGAAGCCGAGTAAGTAATGGTCTCTAAACGTTTATGCGATTTTCGGATTCCTGTTTCTTAATTCTCCGTGATGTCTGGTTTAGTCCATCATAAAGCCGATGAATGCTTATGGAGATGTACAACATGTATACAATGTCGAGGTAGTAAGTGGAATAAAACTAAATGGTATATCAGGTTCCTAGAAGCAGGTTAGTAAAATGAAACTTTTAAATAACTGCTTATTCGGAAGTCACCAGCATTCCAGTTTTTATTTTAGAGCAGTTTTCCAAATTACTTTAGGAATGTCTTTGCAGACCAGTAACACCAAAAACTTTTAATAGTTCAATAACTTGAGTTCTAGGAATTCACTAAACGTAGATAAAAAACGGCATATTAAAATTGTTCCAGCAAACATTGGTAGTTAGTTATTGAAAATGATACCTAATCAGTAATGTCCCACACTAACCCTGAAAGGACTTGAAGTTGTCCAAGAGGTGGAAAAACAAACCATAATATACGAATACTTCACGTAAAAATTTAAATTTGATTGATATCAAAGCGATAAATGCCCTTTAAAAAAACGACATTATCTAATAGAGCTTGATAGTTACTCTACAAGTTAGCCGTATCATCTGAAGCCTTATTACTGAAGCTACATACTTGCCTACAGTTTCGAATTCCACGTCTGAAATGCAATTGCAGTTTTGATAATTATTTCGTATGCATGCTGACTCCATCTCCATGTTCAACATTATTGCTGATCTGTAATTGCACACTCAGGTAGTATTAATCATAATATGTGCGTAACCTAAATTTTCAGCATGAGGGAGAATGATTTTAAACGTTATCAAATAATATAAGTTGTAATGGTGATTCTAATACAAACTGTGAATAATTTTGAAGTTACAAATCAGGCTACACTTACAATTATGTCTTCCCGAAAATGTCGTCCACATACAGAACACTCAACAAGATTAATAGCCTGTACATCAGCGGCAACTATAGTATATAAGATCAATTGTATTGACTTCTCTTACGATCCATTCTCAGCGATTCAAGTATGGAAAGTCACGAAGTTAACATAGGTTTCTACTGCAAATTATTAACTGATGTATTCAAACAAACATCCACTGTCTAAAGGTTTGTAAATGACTTCTTTTCGACTAATAACATTTAGGACATTATTCTTTTTAGAAAATAGAGCAGTTTTAATATTTTGGAGGAAGTAAAGGGAGTATTGGACAAATAAGTTTCTGTGACTAGGAGTTGTGAGTCAAGAATCGAATATCATTTTCTTGAGGTAGCATAAACAAATTTATTTCTTTGAACTCATTTCTTGTCGTTTCGGTTCGACTCCAAGTATTTCGCAATGTCAAATGAATGGTAGCCTACTCATTGGATTACACTAATCCTAGTCAGTCGGCAGTTATTTATGAATTTGTATGTCCCATGATTTGAGTGAGTGAATTGGTATCAGCTATTACTCGATGTACTTAATATGCCATCATCGGACGACCTCCGATTCTCCTATAACTTGGCAAGAACAACCCCAACTGCTAGAGTCTCTCTTCATAAGGTGTATTCTTTAGCCGTGTAACCATGTCATTTGTTGTTCTCTGCACTATTTGTGTGTCTTTTAAAAAGAGGGTGTGCAATGGCGTTGTGAAACTCAAGGTGTGGTCGAACGCACGTCTATAGAAATGTCAAAAGTAATTATAGGGAGATAGCGTCAAATTTTCTTCGCATAAATTGAAGAGATGTGTTTGTCTTGCATCTCTGTTTAGACCGTCTGAGTTTATAAGACCGAGGTGGCGTTCCGAGAAGAAACTGAGTGAACTTGCATTGAGAACATAGGTTGTTTTTTACGCGTGGGGCAGAGTATTCATGATGTAACACTCTGATAGTTTCATTTGTCACACCTTATCTATCGCTCTTTCTTCTGTTGTTGTAATGTTATTTTGAAGATCAGTTGAATCCACTTCTCTTCCTGAGGACTTCCAGATCTTTGAATCGTTTCGATAGAATAATGCCGTTGAGCATAGTTTATCTAACATCACTATCCATCATGCGACTGGTATGTAGCAGGGTGGATCTTTCCAGTCTCCTCTTCTGAACATTAGAGAGAAAACCAGCTAGATTCTATTCAGCTGGCAGTTGGTGTGATCGCAGTGAGTGCCTGAAGAGTTCACAAACTGGTGGGTAGAATGTTTTCGCACACTGTTCCGAAATTATAAGGCATATGCTGTCACATCCTAGGCTCAGGGATTTGAGATTTCCAAGTATCAGGCGAACAGTAGGTTGGATATTTTCTAGTCTATCAGCCGCCACATGGTTTCACTAGTTCTCTGAGCTTGTAGTTACCTGGTATAACTGGTCAGTGAAGTTGGTACTAAAGTTTACCTTCATCACTCAGTTGGTATGTACTTCGCTATTTGAATCGTTATGAGAACAAATATTATTGATGAGACTAAAAAGATATTAGCTTACATTTTTACTGCTACATTTCTCTGAAAGCATCTTCTACCACTTAAATCCTCTGTATTGCATATGCTTCTCGATCCCAAAAAGAAGCTGTGACCAGAACCCATGCGGCGAATGTGCACTCACAGATTCGGTGGTAGTCGGTATTCGACATAATTACTTAGATTTTGTACACTGATCGTCCAAACAGCCATTACTTGATAACACCCAACGGTGTATAAACAGAAGACGAATGCTAAGAGTTTATTATCACCCACACACAAATAATAAAACCACGGGCACACAAAGCAAAAATATATGCGAGTGCCGAAGAGCAAGCAAGCGAGCAAGTGAGTGAGTCAGCGAACAGGATTCAGATGTGCGTACAGACAGATAAGAAAAGGAATCAGTCATCGAATTATTTAAGAGGCTAATATTAAAGCGTATATAATGAAAACGCACGTAGGCGGTAAGCGATGTTCCATCACACCCGCTCATACAAACCAGAAAATAATAAAATCCAACAGTACATGTAAGTCACTACTACATAAATAATTCAGTTAAATAAGTTAATCAAAATGGCGTGAACGATCTCAAGCTTACGTGAAGGCACTACAAAAGCTAGCCCAGCAAACAAATATATGACTAGAAAGATGACATTTTGTGCCGTTCCAAGCCTGATGCACCTTAGTTGGGTTTTCCTGTTTCCGAACGTCAAATCTGTCAGACGCACAGACTTATTAGTTGTTAGATTTGACGGAAGAGGCAGTCCGAAAACGTTAATTGCCATGGTGTGAAGGCCTAACATGTCTAATAGCCACTACCTTTGTTGCATAACATGTGCACGAGATTGATATACTATGCCACCAACCAGTTCAGGCGCTCCATGAACCACTTTTAATTCGCATTGAGATTCATCTCTTTTCAGTCTAACTGTGATGATATAAGCCTCTGGGGTGTAGAGAGAAGCAGTTTAGTTCAATGTATAGCTGCAGTAATAGCTGGAATTCCCATAATAGAAAGGTCGTACCCGACACTTTACTTATACTACATATAGCACTGCTATGTTTTAATCGTACTATTCACAGAAAGCAGATACAATCGAAAACTAGTTACAAAACATCGAGAGCTGTATGTTTGTCTCAATGTTGGTATAAACAAATTTGCTATGCTGAAGCTATGGTTATAGTTCGAGTGAATCACAATGTGTTGGTTGGAAATCATACATGTATAGTAAGTAGATAGGAAAACGTTATTAATCTTGATAGGTAAGTCCGAATCAACCAATAATATATATGTTAGGCAACAACCTCGTGAGACTCATGTAATTTGTGTAGAATCATGTTGAGCCCACATGAATTGCCCTAGATTTGGACAGTATGATTGTCCTTCTCTTCCCAAATTAATATTCACATATATTTCACCTTCAGTATCGTTTTTTATTGTTTTTACTGAAAGACATGTGTGCAGCGTTGCCTTCGTTTATCATATATCTAGCCTATTTTTGTATGACTATTATTACTTGGGCATGCCTCATCGCATTTAGTTAGCTCACTCACTTTTGCCGCTTAACTTTGCTTTCTATCACGATTTACGTTTTGCATTCTATTGTCTGTCTGCTTAAATGAATGTATGAAATAAATCCATGTAGCTCTTAATTACTGCCGTTGAAAAAACGGGATTCATCTAAGAGAGATATACAAAAATTACTTATTTATCTAGCTTCTTACTTCAACTTCTTTTCTATCCCCTTGGCACACTCCACAACCCTTCCGTCTTCATTGCTATACTCTTTCATTTGTGGGGTTGTGAAGTTTAAACGCCCACACTTATTCCAGAACAGAACAGTGTATGTAGGATATCGATTTTTGTTGATAGAAGGTCGAGTGATATCGGAATAATATCACGTGTTCAGCCAGTACAATCGACGATGACACGAAGCGATCGATAGATCCGCAGGGATGGCGTGGGTGGCCTCGAATAATGACTTTCAGTACAGATAAACAAAAGATGTACAATAACACAGTTATTGTTACATGTGTTCAATAATAAGTATTTATGCGTCAATAATCGTGTTTTCGTCACGAAATTGTTCCACTACAGGAGCCCCCCCCTAGAAAGGGTTTACACTTTCGATAAGTAGCGGCTGCGTTCAGGGGGCTTGTCGGCCAAAATTCGGTTGTCGGGCAGAAAGGTTGACGACAGGAAGCGACTGATGAAGCTCGAGTTGTCACCGGGAGTTTGTCCACTGCCGTGCCAATAATAACGTGCCAAGTTCGTCTATCGGGTTGGCATACCACACCAGTGTGGCTCGTATCCAGAGTCTGATGATTGCGTTCGTAGGGGTCCGGACCAGATAAAGCTGCAGACGTAGGACGGAACCAGATTGAGCGAAAGAGCCAGAAACGACCAGTGCGAAACCATTCGTATACCAGATATATTCATAACCAGAAAATCGACTAAATGCATTGACAAGAGCGTGGGTGATCAGGCCAGCTTTCACCAAGGTTGACTGAAGTCGACGGTACCAACAGGGCAATGGTCGGAGGTAGAGGCTCAGGATAAAAAAATCAAAGAAAAGGGAGAAATGTGTAGCATGCATGTAGTATGAGGGTAAAATCCTATGCCGCACCCGAAGTTGATTGGTAGTTAGTGGAGAAAGCGTACAGGTAGGCGTAGGCGGCGATCGGAACGCGAGACCGTAGCTTCGTGCGTACCTCGTAAGCCTGCACTCTCATCCGCAGTCAAGTGCTGCGTGGTCTGCTGACCCGGGGTAGTTTTAAGGATCCCGCTAGGTGTAGCATTGGGTCTCGGATTAGCAAGTAGGGCACTGCCATCGACGTGTGCTGGCTTGAGACGATCAGTGCTGACTATCTCGACGCGGCCATGTCGAGCAACCTTGAAGGTCTTTTCGTGACGAGAAATCACGTGAGAAGGTCATTCGTAAGGTTGTTGCAAAGGTTTGCGTACCGAATCGACTCGCATGAAAACATGTGAGCAGGTAGATAACTCTCGAGGGAGAGCGACCTGTCGATGTTGTACTCGAGTTGACACCGGAGGCAGTGCTCGCATAAATGCAGACAATCGTTGGACGTAGTCTGATTTATTGAAGTTATCACCGCTCCGTCGTGTGAAAAATTCCCCAGGCAGACGCAATGTCGTGCCGTATACCAATTCCGCGGCGGAACATTGAATATCCATAATAGAAGTGATGGGAATAGCTTCGGGCCATCTTGTAAAACGATCGGTGCATGTGAGTATGTGATCATACCCATGCGATGGTGGTAATGGTACGTGATCGAAGCGAGCATCAGGCGTAGTAAATGTGCCGATGGGGGCGGCTACGTGCCTGTGCACTTTTGATCGTTGACACTGTAAACATTGCCTTACCCCCATACGGACATCTTTGTTCATGGAAGGACAGACATATCGTGCAGCGATGAGACGTAATGTAGCTGAGATACCTGGATGAGACAAACCATGAAGGGCATCGAAGACGAGACGACGATAAGCAGAGGGTACGATGGGTCGGGGTAGACCGTTAGAGGTATCACATAGGATAGTGCCTGAGGTAGTAGCTAGGGGCACTTCCTGAAACTGAAAGGATGTATTTTGTTGTGCTTCTGAAGAAG